GCTTGTTGTTAGTTTGAAAACAATTTGATGGATCAAATTTTGGTTCAGGGAGTAAAGCAATTCTCATTTCATTATCTGCGAAGAATAAGATTGGATTTATCAATGGAAAATTACCAAAATCTGACAATGATGATCCAAAATTAGATCTATTTCAGAGATGCAATGACATGGTGACCTCTTGGATCCTCAATGTTCTTACTAGTGATATCGCTGAATCAGTTCTCTATTCATGTTCTGCATTTAGGATATGGAAGGATTTGGATGAGCGTTTAGGTCAATACAATAGAGCAAAACTCTATCAACTTCAAAAGGATATCTCAGACTTGTCTCAAGTTAATAACGATCTTGTTTCTTACTTCACAAAACTTAAGAAACAGTGGGACGAACTGAGTGCCTTATCTTCATTCTCTTCGTATAACTATGGTGCTGCACAAAATCTTTGTGAATTTGAGCAAAATTTAAAACTCATTAAGTTCCTTATGGGAATTAATAGTGGTTATTGTTAAACCAGAGGTAGTATTTTGATGATGAAACCTCTTCCAATTGTTGCTTAAGCCTACGCTATATTAGTTTAAGATGAAAAAAATAGAGAGAAGTTAAATCTTCATCTATATTCATGACTGACTCTGCTTCGATGAATATAAGAATGAAAAATCTTCAATCCAAACCAAACTATGAAAAAAGAAGCATGTAGTGTGTACTCATGATAAGAAAACATGCCACATAATCAATAAGTGTTATCGATTAGCTGGATTTCTAAAGGATTTCTAGTTCACCAAAACAAGGAGTGTTGTCCAAATGTTAACAATCTTCAATAGCCTACTAAAGATTATTCAACATTAAAAGGAAGTGTTCTACCTGCATTTACAAACGATCAATATCAAAAATTCATTTCCATGCTCAATTGCATCAAGTCTAATGGGCCTAACTCAGGATCTAACACTACCGATCAACCTTCTCAAGAACACATTCAGGGAAAAAATTATTCCAGTGTCATTTTCGCTGGTAATTATCATACTCCATTTGATCTAAATAAATGTCATCACATCACAAATGAAACTTCTACCTGGATCATTGATTCCGATGCAAGTGATCATATGTGTTTTGATAGATCTCTATTATTCAACATTTGTAAACTTACTGTACCACATTATGTTCTTCTTCCTAATGGTGAAAAGACCATTTTATTTGAAATTGGTCATGCTCATATCGCCAAAGATGTGTTCACTCAAATTGTTCTGTACGTGACTATGTTTCGGTATAATCTTCTTTCCATTGGTAAAATTTGCAAAGATCTCAAATCCTTCATTCTATTCTTAGAACATCATTGTTTCTTGTTACAATTCCTCACTTTGAAGAGGCCTCTGGTTCTTGGTAGACATCGTGATGGATTGTATTTTGTTCACTGTACATAAGAAGCAAATAAGAGTCTAACTATGTCTGTTATTAATAAGGCTTCGTTGAATACATTTGTCATTTTTCCAATTCTCTATGTAATTTTGTTTCAAGTGATACCTCTGTTTCTCTATGGCATAAGTGTATTGGCCATTTACCAATGTATAAGTTAAAAACTTTTAATGTGTTGAGTAAATATGATGATAGCCATGATTTCTTTTGTGACATTTGTCCTAAATCAAGAAAACACTAACATCTATTTCATCATAGTCACATTCATACAAATTCTCCTTTTGAACTTATACATATTGACACTTGGGGGCCTTATAAATCCAAGACATATGATGGTTATTCATATATTTTTTTTAACAATTGTTGATGATTTCACTCGATCAACATGAATCCATCTTTTGAGCATAAATATCAATGCATTTCAAGTGTTGAAAGGATTCATTGCATTGATTGAGACCCAATTTGATAAGAAAATTCACATTATTCGATCAAATTTCTTCAACAAAAAGGAATTTTACACCAAACCAACTGTCAAAGTACACCCCATCAAAATGGAGTTGTGGAGCGCAAATATAAACACCTTCTTGAAACATCTCGAGGTCTCTTGTTTCAGTTAAATCTTCCTATAAGTTTTTGGGGAGAATATGTTTTGACAACAACCTATCTCATCAATCGTTTTCTAACAAAATTATTAAATGGAGAAACACCATTTAGTAAAATAAATGGATTAGAATCCTCTTATACTCCAAGAAAAATGGGACAAATTTATCCCTTGAGCATCTTCATTTGTTTTCATTGGTTACCCTTTTGAGAAGAAAGCATATAAGCTCTATAATATAGATACTAAAAAGTTTGTCTTTTCCAAAGATGTGAATTTTCATGAATTCATCTTTCCATTCCACTTCATGCAACCAAATTTTGTTCCAATGTTTCCAATTCCAGAGTCATTACATGTTCATAATGATGACTCAATCCCTTCTTTTATTTCACCATTAACTTCTCATTCTCATTCCCCTTCACCCTTAATCGATGCTTCTTCTGCCTCACAAAATCAACTAACTTCAGTTACAAATCCATCAATTTCTATTCGAAATACAGATTCTGCCCTTGCTCTAATTTTTGTCCCACAACAAAATTCTTATGAACTGATTGATATAAGATGAACAAAAAGAGTATCCAGAACACCATCATATCTTTAAGATTATAATTCTGCTTATTTTTCATCGTTTATGCATTCCATGACTTGAGTTGCTTCCAGTCAACATGTTTGTTTCTCAACCTTATCTGATCATAGCAAATAATTGATAAAAAGTGTTGATCATTTATTTGAACCTTTGTAACAAGAAGAGGCTGTTAATATTCCAGAACGGAGTGAAGCTATGAATAAGGAATTTGAAGCGTTGGATGCCAATAATACATGGATAATTACCAATTTGCCAAAAGGAAAAAAAATCCATTAGTTGCAAATGGGCTTGTAAAGTCAAATATAAAGTAGATGGTCAAGTTAAAAGATGTAAATTGAGATTACTTGTCAAAGGATATCCTCAAAAGGAGGGGATTAACTATACATAGACTTGTTCACCTGTAGTCAAAATAACAACAGTTTGTGCTCTCACAACTACTGTAAAGAAAGAGTGACAAATGCATCAAACGCATCTCTTTGTTACCATTTTCATAAGAATGAATACTATGATTCTCTTTTTTAATAGGCATGAATACAGGATCTATAGGATAATCTGCATGGTGATCTTGAAGAAGAAATTTACATGAATTTCTATCTAGGAGTTGTTTTGCAAGAAAAAAATCAAGTATGCAAATTGCAAAAATCACTCTATGGGCTTAAGCAAGTCTTACGTTAGTGGTATTCTAAAACTTGTTTAGCCTTAAAAGATAAAGGATACCAACATTCTAAAGATGATTATTCATTGTGTCATAAATCAATGGGTTCACATGTCACATTTGTAGTAGTATATGTCGATGACATTATGGCCATAGGAAATCATGAAGAAGTAGTAACAAGTCTCAAGGCATTTCTTGATTCTCAATTCAAAATAAAAGATTTGGGTTACCTAAACTTCCTCATAGGGATTGAAGTTTTGTATACTTCTATAGGGGTAATATTGTCACAAAGGAAATTTGCTAATGAAGTCTTGAAAGAGTTCAAATGGTCTGGAAAATCAATCTGTCCCCTACCTTCAAATCTCAAACTTTTGATTAATGAAGGGGAATCTTTGCCTAATCATGAAGTATATATAATACTTGTCGGCAAATTGAATTTTTTAACTCATACCAGACCTGATCTGGCATTCACTATGCAACATCTAAGGCAATTCATGCCCAATCCTAAGCTGCCACATTTTGAAGCTGTTATGCATACTCTTATATATATATATATATATATATATATATATATATATATATATATATCTTAATCAAGGCTTGTTTTTTTAACAATAAAGATGATTTCAATCTTCAAGCCTTTTGTGATATTGATTGGGATGCTTGTCCCTAATCAAGAAGGAATATTTGTGGATTTTTCATATTACTTGGTGGAAGCCTTATTTCTTCGAAATCCAAGAAACAAATCACGGTCTCATTGTCCTCTTCTGAAGCTGAATACAAAAGCATGAAAAGCACTACTACAAAAATACCCTTTAATGACATGCATTGCGTGTCATAAAAGCCACAGATGACACACAAACGTGTGTCAAGGAAGGCCCTGTAATTAAGGAAGACGACACACTTTTACGTGTCGTAAAATTACGACGTGCATTTACGACACACATTGTGTGTCAAGGAAGATCCTGTCATAAAGGAAGACGACACGCATTTGCGTGTCGTAACCTGACAACATGAATTTATGACACACATGTTTACGTATCATAATTTTAAATGTTTAAAAATATATTATATATAGATTTACTAATAACCTGACAACATGAAATTATGACACACATGTTTGCGTATCATAATTTTAAATGTTTAAAAATATATTATATATAGATTTACAAATAATCGTTCCAATCGTAGATAAATGTAATACATTAAGTGTGTAGGAGATGAAAGTCATCAAAAAATAGTAATAGAACCGAAAGAACTTTGGTGACCACCTTCACAACATCTGAGCTACTTTGCTTGACACTACACACACCAATAAGACCTGCAAATTTGAATCATGCCACCATTAGATTCACATATTGATAAATCAGAGTATACTATGTTACCTGAGTAAGCGTAAAGATGTTATGTTTACTGAAAAGCAAGTGAAATGTTGTAATAAGAAATGAAAGTAGGATACTATAACGTATAATATATGAAAGTAGACTGTTATTTTTTACATTTAACCTTCTTTTGTGTAATAAGATGAAATGAAAGTAGGATGCTATAATAAACACTCATATATAGCTTAGCAGATTAAGTAGGATGCTATACTCAGTAACATGTCATCTTTCTCCAATACCATTGTATAGAATCCCTCATAGTTTAAACATGCGAATTCATACCTACATATATTTTATGCATAAAGTTACATTTTTTTTTACTAATTTACGCACTCATATTACAAAATTTAGCAATTTAGTGAGATTACTTACTTACCCTTGATTATAGAGTACTTGGAGTATCAAATCGATTACGATTCTTGGATCAATCATGGGAAGAAAGAATTCCTCCATGATTGTAAGGGAAACTTCTAGTTTCAGACTCCATTCCACTTTCAAAGCAATAAAATGGTGATCGGAAAGAACATTCTGGTCTCCATGAGTGCGCTTCAAAAGTGTCGACGAGAAACCATCAGAGATGGAATTCATCATTCCAACTTTCAAGGCCTGAGTGAATCTTAAAAGATAGATGCTAAAATGAACTTAAAATTATAAACCCGATTGAAGTATTTTTCGACTCCTATTCAAGTCGGAATTGTGGATTCCATTCCTACCATTTTACAGCTTTCACTACAGAACCATGTAGAAGGTTCCATCCCACTTCCAACTTCCGTCTCCATGACACATTCCTTGTGGTCTGTTTACAAGCACCACAATTATAGTCAAAAAGTTAACCATCAACACGAAATATAAATTATTTTTAGTGAAAAAATTACATTTATGTTTGCATTGTAAACATGTCTAAACACTTCTTATTTGGGCCTCATGAATATCAAACACATTCCCACAACTCCAACAAGAACAATTTCTACAATACCAATCACCTTCAAGTAGCTCCTAAAAAGGTAAAAACAAACGTCTATAACTTCCAATATTAATAATAATAATAATAATAATCAAAACAAACCTGTAAACATAAGCATTCTTGATGAAAACTTGAGGGACAACTATCACAACATATTAAATCGCCTCCATAGCCACAAAGACCACAACTATCATCATTTTTATCGATTTCTTGAACCTTTACAGTTTGTGTGGGACCATTTCTGACTTTATATTCCATTGACCATGCTTCCAATTGACACAAAGTCAACGATTTTCCAGATTCCATGAGAAGATTCAAACAAGGGCAATTTTGGGTGAAACAACTGTGAATCTTGAATTTAGACACAAAAAAACACGTTAGCACAGTATCCACATAGAATACCATCTCACGTAAGTATACCATGTTTAATTACCAAATTGTCCTTCAGATTCCTATATTTGATAATTTCATTGACCTGAATAACTCTGGAATCTATCAACCAGGATAACACTGTTCTTGTTCTTACACCAATGGAAAAACAATTCTCTTTCAAATGATGATGTCCATCATTGCCATGTGGTAGCAACCTGTAGATTTTTTTGTCCCAAAAGTGTGCTTTATAAAATATAATAAACAGAGAGAGAGAGAGAGAGAGAGAGAGAGAGAGAGAGATACTTGCATCAATTTGTGCATGTAAATTGATGTGGAAGCTTGCTCCATTCATCTTCAACCTGTAAATACAAAATTACAGTACATGTAGAGAGAGAGAGAGAGACACTGTAGCACGACGTCAGCGATGACGTCAACAGAAACTGTAGCAAGCACTGTAGCACGACGTCAGCGGTGACGTCAGCAGGCACTGTAGCAGATTTGAAAAATTTCAGTTTAGCCCCTGAACTTTCAGAAAATTGCAGTTTAGCCCCTGAACTTTCAGAAAATTGCAATTTAGCCCCTAATCTTTCAGAAAATGGTAGAAAACAGTAAGCTTCAGATTGAGAAGTTTGATGGGAAAGATTTTGGTTGGTGGAAGATGCAAATTGAAGATTTGCTCGTGCAGAAAGACTTGGACGCAGTTTTAGGTGAAAAACCGGAGGCGATAACACAGGCAAACTGGGAGATTTTGGATAAGAAGGCCAAGGCATTTATTAGACTGACGTTGTCAAAGGATGTTACCTTCAACATTTTGAAGGAGACCTCGGCAAAGGGAATCATGGAGGCATTGTCTAATATGTACGAGAAGCCGTCGGCAGCAAATAAAGTCTTCCTGATTCGGGAGCTAGTCAACACGAGGATGAGGGAAGGAAGTTCAGTTACAGTACACATCAACAATTTGAACTCGATTTTATCCAGACTTGGGTCAGTGGGAATAAAATTTGAGGACGAAGTTCAAGCTTTACTACTGTTATCATCATTACCTGACAGTTGGTCCGGAACAGTTACAGCCGTTACTAGTTCCTCAGGATCGAAAGAGCTCACTTTTGAGGGAATTCGGGATTTAATTCTAGGCGAAGACGTCAGACGAAGAAATTCCGGGGAATCATCAAGTGAACAATTGAATGCAGTCAGAGGTAGAAAAAATAACAGAGGTAGTGGGAGCGGGAACATGAGAAGGAGTCAGTCGAGGACTCGAAATGATGTGACTTGTTGGAACTGTAAAGAGGTTGGACATTTTAGGAATCAATGTCCAAAAGACAAGAAAGAAGTTAACGCTGCAGTAGACCATTCAGATGATGATGTTTTGATCTGTAGTGTGGAGAGCAATGTGGATTCATGGGTTATGGATTCGGGTGCTTCATTTCACGCTACCCACAGCCGTGAAGCACTACAGAATCTGAAAGAAGGAGATTTTGGTAAGGTAAGACTGGCGAACGATGAGGTTCTTGATGTGACGAGCATAGGTGACTTAGTTTCGAAGACTCCAGTTGGTCCATGGACTTTGAAGGATGTCCGGGTAATTCCAAGTCTGAAGAAACAGTTGATTTCTGTTGGGCAGTTGGATGAACAGGGACACGAGGTTAAGTTCAGGAATGGGCAGTGGAAGGTTGTCAAAGGAAATCTTGTGATAGCTCGTGGACATAAGAAGGGTTCATTATATATGGTCAGATTACCATCTGAGGGAGTAACCGTCCCAGTTCAGAAGAAAAACAAAATCCGGTTCATAGAGTCTCGTGGACAGAAGAAGGTTTGCTTTGCAGATGGCAAACCCAGAGTCACAGGTCAGATTCAGGTTGAACGTGTTTGGAACGGTTCAGAAAAACCAGTCAAGGGCATTCATAGCAGTGGGAGCAAGGGTTGTGCTTCAGCTAGAATACCCAGAACACAGTGGGTTAAGAGAACCAGTATTCCATCTGTAAAAGTCTCTCCAGATTATCTGTTTCACATGGAGAGTGTCGTTTGTTCTCAGGATGTTCCAGGATCGGGCAGTTCATTTCAGTGGGAGCCGGTGGAGACAGAGAACAGGTTAGTGGCAGACTTAGCCATGACTGATGTGTTGGAGCTAACGGAAGCTTCAACTAGCCTTCAGGTAAATTGAAGAGAAGGCTGGGTAACTAGGAAGGAGCTAAGATGAAAAGTTTTACGGAAATACAAATGCACAGTTGAAGCACATGTGAAGATTATTCCGTGGCTTCAAGTGGGAGATTGTTGAGTTGGTGAAGCCACTCAAATATTAGTGGCAGAAATCATGATACCACTCAAATATTAGTGGTTGAAAAGCAAGTCAAAAAGGTGGAAAAGGAGAGGTGATCCATATTTCCCGGATGCATGTTTCATGGCTGCTTTTCTTGTTCAATTGTTTACTTCAGACTCTATATATTAGTCTCATCTGTATTGTAAAAAATAAGCAACAAAGAGTGAGTGCAGATTAGCACCAAGAAATATAAACTCCTAGTTACCTCGTGTGGATGTAGGTCAGAAATAGACCGAACCACCTTAAATCTTTGTTGTTCGTGTGTTTAGAGTGGTGTGTTAAGTGTCTCGATCCTAACATATAAGTGTTTAATTCCTTCAAGTTCATAGCATATTAGTGTAAATGGAAAACCTTCCTTTATGTTTCATAATTGAAATTGTTTGTTATGCATGTCCTAAATCCTTCACATTTTTAGGGAGATAACATTATTTTTAGGGCACACACTTTTGCATATCATAAAGTACTGAATGTCATGGTTCGCGCATCATTAAAGGCCTATATTCTAGTAGTGAAGGGTGACAGCTGAACTGGCATGGTTATCAAGAATTTTGCATGAAATGAGTGTTCCTAAAGTTAGTCCTACCCCTGTTAAATGTGATAGCTAGACAACAATCCACATTGCTAAAAATTCAGTGTTCCGTGAACGTACAAAGCATATGGAGTTCGACTGCAACTTTGTTCGAGAAAGATTGCAAGATAGGTTGATTTCTCTACAATATGTTCCTACTTAATTGTAACTAGCTGATTTATTTACAAAAAATCTACCTAACATAGATCATTATAGGCATTTAAGCAAGTTAATTGGGAGTGTCCCACTCTTTGAGGAGAGATGTTATTATTTATGCCACATCAAACTAGTTAGTTGAGCTGATTAGTTAGTCCGTTAGACATTCAGTTAGATTAGTTAAAACTTGGTTAGTGTTCTAATTTCTTTGTATAAATAGATTAGAGTTGTAATAGTTTCAATAATTAATTCAATAAGCATTTTGTTCTTCATCTTTACAATTCATTCATTCAGGAATCAAAACGATGGTATTTAAATAACAACAAAGTACTTTACCTTGTTGCAAATGACGAATTTAGGGGAAAGGACAAGGAATGTTCCGAACAAGTTTTGTTAGAATGTAGGTGTATTTTCTTTTTGTTTGTTCCTTGTAATCTTCCGGTTTTTTGCTGGGTTTCTTTTTTATAATAACATTACCATTAAAAGTACAAATGAAAAATGCAAATACTAATAAAATATTTGGTGGTTCCATTAAAATTATTGAACAAGTTTTATGATATAATCCGTCAATACACAATGATAAAAACAATATTGTTTCTCGTTTTTATTACCCTCACCCACACCCGTTTGCCCATAGAAAACTAGTGAAATTAGTAATCCAGTCGACTGCACATCGATCTATTCACTGAAAATCAAACAAACAGGTTTTTTAAATAATTACATGTTGGTCTAAGCCTTCGCCAAACTGCTGAAATTCATAGGTGTCACAAACTCTGGTCCATCAGCGTAAGCCAGTGTAAGAGCTGCATGTCGAGCAGCAGCCTCAGTGGGGTGAAACTCATCCCAAAATATGTAATGATTACGATTTCTGCAAAGTTTTGATCCCGATTCACACCCGGTTTCTGCATTAAATGTCCCATTTCCGCAGCAAGCTGTTTCAACCACTTGGAATCCTAAAACATTAGGACCAGATTCTTGAATATGCATATCAATATCGGAAAAATGGTCTTATTGAAGGTTATTAGAGAGTGTTTGTTACCACTTGCACGACGATTATCAATGAAATCCATGATGATGTTATAGGTGTTTCCCAGTGAGTAAACGACTCCTTGATTTATTGAGCTGAAATTTTGCAAGAGGGATTCAATTGATGCATGGAAAGCTTGTGCAAGTTCATTCATGGCTTCTACACAACTGCCATTGCCACCCATCTGTAAATTAATGTAGCGTTCCTTTGGACAACAACCCAGCGGTGGAACTCCTATTATTCCAAATTTTCTAGCTCCAAGATCATACAAATTCTGCCAATATTTACGTAGAGTAGAAAATGAAAGTGATTATCATCGGAAATGCTTGGTTCCACAGAGAACACTCAAATTCCACTACATTTAACCATTCTAATATCGTGGATGTTCTCTAAGCATTTTAGGCTTTCTATCTCATTCCGAAAATTACCTGTAAATGGATGGCATAGGATGCGGTGAGATTGGCGATGAGTTGCTGTGGTTGTGTCTCATTCCGAAATAGTGAGTTTTGTTTCTCGAAAAAGTCATTGCTTCCGACGCTAATAATGCAATGGGACATCCGTATGAAAAGATCAGCTGTCCCATTCCCTAATACCTCTGACATATTCCCACGAACTGTCGCAAATTGTTGAATTTGCTCCCATAGAGGCACAACCCTTATCTGTCCAAGTATTAATTAATTAAGTTTGCAGCAGATTCAAAACATAATATTGGAAGAATGTACCACACCCATGAGTATGCATGGTTTTTCGATTACGTGAATAAAGTTCCATATAGATATGTATAGATTATAAACAACATAAAACTACAATAATTTTAAGAAACGAACGATTGATACGCATGTGCATGTAGATACACTTACGAATTTTTCACGTCCAGTGTCGCCTAGAATACCTGATCCTCCTGAAGCAAAGTTTGCGCCACGGATTATCTGTAACAGGAAAGTGTCCGGACTCTCAACCAGAGTGAGAAAAGGTGGCGGACTAAAATCATAACCGTTCATGTACCAAGCTGCATACATCAATAAACCAAGTTAAATTACCACTTTTCCTTGATAAAAATAGAGCTTGATCAGTCCGAAACATGAAGATTAAGATTATTATCATATCAGTTATGCGTAACGAAAAACCAAAATCTAATTAACTATGACCTAAAATTCCATGTCTCTGCGGTTCCTGAATACATCGTTACACGTTATATACCTACAAAAACTGTTAACTGTTTCCCTTTGAAAATGCCGTATTTATGAATATAGCACTCCGCTCGCCGATGTGAAATCATGAAATTAATTGTTTTTTTCCGTACCAAGTAAGTCGGCACTGTTGAGGCCATTGCTAAATCTCCCTGTTGCGACGGAATCAGGATAATCGATGCCATAGTAAGGGTGATCAGCCCTCGCTGTGCTATCATCGAAGTGGTTATTAGTTCCAACATCCAGTAAAGAATCTCCAAAGATGAAAAGTCCTCCATGGATGTCCATTCCTGTGGTGGTCTTCGTTATGGTTGCAACAGTTACTACACATAGCAAAACGAGGGTAGAACTACCCTTCATCACCTTGATGTTAGTTTTCTCTTGATGATGATGAATATGCAGAAACACGATCCAGTGCTGACACTGACGATCTTTGTGATGTGATGTCTATATATAGTAAGAAAAAGAACAGGTGGATGATGTCGATATTTTAAAAGGTCACTGTCGAGAGTACCTGGAAATTTGGTCCAGTTTCGGCAATTACTTTAGGTTGTTTTCTATAAAATACTATTTTTTGGTAGGTTTCATGGAACTAGATATATGAAAACATAAACATACTACCAATATGCTTCGTTCATGCTAATGCATGATAAAAAGTTAAGTTTGGGTTAGCATTGGGAGACAATTACTAAGGCTTCTTAATCTGGACGATTAATTTGTAGAAAACCGACAGAATCGCTTATAAAACACTTGCCGCTCAAAAGGAAAAGATATTTAATAAAAATATTGATTAATTATGGCGACATGAAGGTGCAGCCATCCTGATAGTATCATCACATCTGAACGTCAACGATTTAATTGTTTAAAAGGGAAATGATGTCAGCGATAACGTTCATGGTTGATATATACATCGTTTACAACCGGATGAATTGTACTTTCACTATGATATTTCCATTTAATATAATCGTGCACTAAAGCCATTCAATAATGCTCGGATGTCCTTAGTGAATTTGTCGGATAACATCATTACCTTGGTTTTTAATTGGATGAAATATAGGGGTAATTTCAATCACAGTTAATTAAATAGATTGATTGGGGTTGTAATGCTTTTGACATTCTATAATTTGTTTGATTTGTGTTGTTTGATTTGTTTGTTTTGTGATGTTTTTTCACCCTGCCTTGTTTCTTTATGGGCAGGTGGTAATATATCTCCACCACTTCCAAAATTCTTTATGGGCAGGTGTTAATATATCTCCACCACTTCCAAAAAAAAAAAGATGTATATGAAATTTCATTATTGTTGATTGTATAAAATTATTGGTATCACATTTTCTATGCGGGCATCTAATTTGACCTGTCTCGTCGACGTGTGATTTGGATCTCAAAATAAACGCTTCGGTTCCAACAAGGACGCACGGTTCAGAAATTTGATTGTTTTTCAAGCCGCAAAGCCTAAGCAAGGGGAGCTCTTCGATTATGTTGTGATTTCTTCTTTCAAATTAAAGTATAGTTAATAGATTTAGACGTTTAAATGTATCGTGGATCGAGTTGATTAAAAATCCTCAAATAGGTGTAAATGTTATGTGACTCTTCGTTTTTCTATTTTCTCTAACTCCTTGGGTAGTTTTAATCATGATTCTAAAAAGCAGCGCACCATAGTGTGAGGCGTGATGTAGCCATTATGAAAACGCCTAAGACGGGTTTGTTAAGCGTAACGCTTAAATAAAATGTCAAGGCATGCCTTATCGTGTTATGGGGTGAGTTTTTTTTTCAAAGCACGAGTTTTTTTGTTTTTTTATCGGGCCTAAAATAATTGAGTTTTTGTTAACATTTTTATGTTACAATATTAATATAACACTTCTAAAAAGATTAATGATAAAAATCAATAATTATATGATTTATCTCTTTTAATGTATATAGAACAGTCACGCCTTGAAAAACGTTATGACTCGCCAAGGCTTGTCATTATTTAATTTTGACATTTCCACCAAACCACGTTTCATGTTATTTAGAACCTTAGTTTCAATGGAATTTGTTGCTATTAAAAAAGATCGATGATTCAACATACTTTAATATATTTATGATTTATAGAATCATGCTTTAGTTTTTTTATATCATACCATTATACCTCAAATAGTTAACTTATTATATGATACATAATATACTACAAGAAATGGGAGCATCAGCGAAGACGCCTTTATCGGCGACATGTGATTGACGCGTTACATGTTGCCGCTAATGCCATTCGTCGCCGCTAATAGTCACATAATAGCCATCAACGTCAGACGAGTCTCATCCGTTCGATCATAGCGTTCTAACGGAATAAGAAAAAAGCACTAACTTTTTCCTTCAGGTTGTCGCCGCTAATACCTATGCGTCGCAGCTATTAGCGGCAACAAAAACTATTTTTAGCGGTGACAGCTGTCGCCGGTAATACTCTAATTTATTGTAGTGACATTTTGTTTTTTTATTATATTATAAAACTCTACTTTAATATTATTTTTTTTTGCCTCTTCTACTTATCGTTTTTGTTTTTTTTACTATATTATAAAACTCTATTTTAATATTATTTTGATTTTTTATTTTTCTAGTGACACTCAAATATTATTTTTAGATATCATCTCACACATCATAACATAAATGCTTTAATTAAGGCAAAACAAAAAACATTATATATATATATATATATATATATATATATATATATATATATATATATATATAGTCAAAATCAAATAAGAAGGAAATTTTTGGTAGGAAGGTAAGAAGTTTATTTTCTACATATTTTTTTCGCGAACAAACAAAATGAATCATTAGATGATTCATTTGTAAGATGATTCACAAGAAAAAATTCTCAAAAAAACATCTCGATGATTCATTTATACAATGATTTTGTTGTTATTCGCTAAAATTGTCATAAAAGTGAATTTTTTCTTAATTTACTTAAAAATGAATCATAAATATGTTTTTTTTGGGGGAATTATATATATATATATATATATATATATATATATATATATATATATATATATATATATATATATACTGATGATATTCTCGAAAAAATATCTTGATAATTCATTTTTATTTTGATTTTGTTGTTATTACTAAAATTATCATAAAAATGAAATTTCGTTTCATTTATTGAAAAACAAATCATGAAGGTGTTTTTTTGGAATTTTTTCTTATGAATCATCTTACTTTTGATTCATTTTGTTGGTTTGCTAAAAAAATATGCATATAAAAAACTTCTTACCTTCCTACCAAAATATGCTCCTGATATCTTACGCTGAATCACAAAACTTGTAAGAAGAAAATGGGGCAAAAAAGGGTTGGTGTATGTGATAAACTACAATACATAGCTTAACCATTGACACATAATTTAACTTTTATCAGTGTATGGTATCGTATAGTGAATCAATAAGTTTTATGATAGAATACTTGTAGTGAGAGATATAGGATGTCTTAATCATACCGAGGTTCAATCAGTGTGAATTATAGATAATTTCTAACCCATCAAGAGGGAATGGTTCAACTCCTAGCCTTATAGAGTTTTGCATTTTTAGTCTAGAATTAATGATTCACCATCAATTCTTTTAATATGGTACAAGACAAAATTAGAAACAAAAGAAAATAAATGAAGACTAAAAGAAATAATCAAAAGAAATGGTGAAAAAGGAGAAACATGCGTTTTCAGAAAAGAATATAAAGACCTAATATGGTGTATCTTTTGAATTGAATGCTCATAAAGTATTTCTGTTGGGTCTAAAATTTTGGTTTATACTTTGCTTTTCTAGGAAATTGTAATTTTCCGTCTAGGACCGAAAAGTGTTTACGGCCCAATGGGTGTTTACGGCCGTGAACCTGTTCACGGCCCATGTTCCCCAAGTATATATATATATAAGTGTTAGGGGTGAGGAGTGGTTGATGAGCATATTGTAGAGAGAGAAAGTGAATCTTGTGTAAAGAGCATCATTCCATTTTAATCAAATCACACGAGATTCACATTATTCTTCTTCTCCTTCTTCTGCATTTGATCTGGCATCATCCGTTTGATTGGAATTCCGCACCATCAAACGGATCTGATTGATACACAAGCAAATTGGGGACTTACAATTGGTATCAGAGCTTGGATTGTATCAATCAATTTTTGCAGATCTGGAGCGTATTTGATCTTATTTTTGAAGGATTTCTGCGTTTTTGGATAGATCTTGGCAAAATAGGGAGGTTTGTTCTTTGCATTTTTAATAAAAACGAGTTTTTGATCGAGTTTTGGAGCAACAAGAGGTGAAAAAGCTGTTTTTCACGTAATCTGCGAAGTGTTTACGGCCTTTGAAGATCAATAGTTTACGACCCAAGAAGGGTTCACGACCCGAAGTTCGTTTACGGCCCACAGACGTTTACGGCTCGGGGGTTTGCGGTCCGAGGTTCACGGCCAGCCTCGCCTCGGGTTCACGGCTCAGCGGCTTCGGACGATCTCGGCCAGCATCCTCGCACGCGTGCACGTCCTCGCATCAGTTTCATATTAAAAAAAAAATTGGGGTTGCCTGGATTCGAACCCAGGTCCCCCAATTCATCAAACAGGCGCCTTTCCAACTCATCTAGCTTGATAGATGATATCTTCTTTTCCGATTTAATTCATAAAGCTTCGTTGTTTCGCACCTAATTTCGCATTTTAACACTTTAAGCCCAAAAATCAAATTCCTTTTATTTTAAAAATTCCATTTTTAACCCAAAATTTTAGTTTTTAATTTTTGACTTTTTCCTAAAATTTTGACTTTGACTTTTAAAGTTTGACCTTTGACTTCAAACTTTGACTTTTTCGTTTAACTTTTAAATTTTCAAATTTAGCTTTTCGGTTTGACTTTTTAAGTTTGACTTTTCAAGTTTAACTTTTTAAATTTGACTTTTGAGGTTTCAAGTCAAAAGACATTTTTGGTAAACAATGAGTTCTTCAAAAATCAAAGTCAATGAACTTTCCTTGGAGAATTTACGTGAACACTATGAATTACTACGTAGAAAGAACGAGGAACTAAAATACGAAGGGTACCAACTTAGGAAAGACGAGAAACCATTGAAAGATCAATTAGAGGCCAAAACAAATGATTATAAGAAATTACAGGCAGAATATAGTGACAAGTGTGTCCATTATAGATATCTTAAGAAAGATTTTGATGTTGTAACTACCGAACTTGATGGATTAAAAGCCAAATATAAAGATGCTGAATTCAATTTTAAGAAATTTGATGTGTCAAGTGAGGTAGTTGTGTTCATGATAGAAAAACAATTAACATTCAAAGATAATCAAACTAAGGGGTTAGGGTATCACAGTGTACCACCTCCCTTCAATGACAACTATA